CCCCCCCCCCCTAAGACACACTGCTGCAATGATTGCGAGTGCAATTTTCTTTTGAAATTTTCTTGTTGGCATGTTGTAATTTTGGTTTTTGTCCGCATGGCTGCCTGCGGGGAAAAGCCAAGATTTATGGCGCATCGATTTTTGCCCCAACGAACACTCATGCGAGTGCGTGTGCGTGTGTGTGTGTGTATGTGTGGTGTGTGTGGTGTGTGTGTGTGTGTGCGTATTTTTCCAATAAGTGTCAGAGACGCAAAACGATCCATCCATGTCGCGCTTATCATATCGGATGCCGCTCATATATCAATTATTTTGCAATCATTTTAAAGTAAAACAAACACTCAGTTCGGACAGCGATAAGCGATAAGCGATGGTCTTGGAAGAATCCCAAATTAGAAGATATGTAGAGCTGCTGCTAGGCCTCCTTACGGATCATCGGTGCAGTGGCGCAGCATGCGCCACTGTGTCCAGGCGAAGCAGCCGAGGTAGCCATCCTGGTTGACAAAGGCCTTGCCCTGCTCGCAGGATAGCTCCTTGGCGCCTTCGTTGGTGCACAGGTAGAACTTGTTCAGCGAAGCGCTGGGCTGCGGCTGCTGGCTGGCGAGGCCCTCGCAGTCGGGCTCGACGGCGTCCAGGTTGACGCACTGCGGATTCATCAGATTCGAGGGCAGGCAGCCCGAGAAGGTGGAATTGTTCACAAAGTAATAGTCCGTGTCGCACGTGTCCTCGATTACTTGGCCATTGATGCAGAAGTAGAATTTGCGTATATCCTCGCCGCCCCACAGCTCGTCCTCGAACTGGCACACAAGTGGCTCGTCGCCGGTTGCACCCAGGCTGGCGGTCCAGCCCACAGCCAAGATGCCAAGGAATATCAACAGAGCTGTGGAGGATAATTACAATTAATAATACGAATAATTGGGGAACCGAACCTACTTTTTTGCATAGTGAATCCTTGTTTTTGGGTTAGGTTATGCAAAGGTTGCCTTCAATTTGAAGATCTGAAACAGACTAAACTATGTGAAGGCACTCGCTTGGTCTTTTATAATATTCTATCCAATCAGTGGCACTTATCGCGGGACCATATCATTGTCAATAACACTTTGTTCCAGGTGATGAACCTCTTTCGAGGGCGATTTTCGGCTGCGGTGCTTATGTTCCTCATACGCCGTGTGGTTATCTGCCTTCTGCTATGCAGATAATGGCGAATTCTTGACTTAATTTTCGACTGTTTTCAACAGATATCACGCCTCTCAAGTGGCCAAGGCCTGTACAAATTGATGAGCATTTTCCAAGAATCAGATCCACACACACTCCCGGATGTCTTAGGGGCGCGAAAAAATACTTATTTTGGGTCCCATCTGCGGCTGTCTATTAGCCGGAAACTTTTAATTGAATTCACGCGGAGAGCATGCATCGATGCCAAGCCTATTGGAATTTATGTCGATTATATTGTCAACTTTTTCCGTGCTCCACGAAGTTTCCCTATTTAAACTTGGCGCCGCCGTAAATAGACTGCAAAAAGTGAGCCAGGACCCAGAGAGAGAGAGAGAGAGAGAGAGAGAGTGCCTTCTGCGTTCTGCGGGTGAAAGAAGTTCCAATTGACATCGTGACTTGACAACAAAAGTGTCTCAAGCCAGCCAGCCAGCTGCTGCTGAACTTTTTTTCTCTCTCAGGTTACAGAGGCCGCAAAGTGGCTTCCTCGCAGGTTCTCGCGCAGGCTCTTGCCGCTTTTTAGCCAAATCAATTAGAAGTTTTGACAGCGACTGTGTCTGCAGCTGAACACAAAATCCATTCCTCCATTTCATTATCTGTGTAGGGTGGCTATACTTGGGCTCGTAATTAAATTTTAGTCTGATTTCCGCAGCAGTAATTTCCAAAATTTACCTTCATTTGAAAGGCAATTAATGTCCATGCTATCGCTATGATAAGCAATGACAGATGTGTGCGTACAGTAGTCCAAAATGGCCCTGTGTTTTCCTTGACAGTGAATCATTGTCGAAGGGGGAAGTTCTGAAGAAGAGCCATCGAACGATGACAGCGAGTCGGTCGCTGATAGACATCATCAGAGCAGTGAGAGTTACAGCCCATGCCCCAATGTGGTGTCATTCCATTCAGAGCTCGTATCAATCTCATCGTTCGATTGCAGGGAGCAGCAGCAGCAAACTTTAAACTCTGTTACTTATCTAATCTGAAACTTGTCCACGGAGCGAGAGCTGAAAAGTGGGAGAGCGACGACGTCACATTGGGCTAAAATAGAATAGAAAGGCCCAGGCCCATAGCCAGAGTCAGAGCCAGACGGAGAGAGAACCCATGAAAAATGACTGTAAAAATAGCAATGATAGCGTTGCAGGGGCAACATCAGTAAAGTCATGCAATGGACGCACCACAATAAGTATAAAAACCAAAGACAATGGCGACGCCATCAATCAGTCGAGTCGTGTTTTTCTGTACGTTCGCACCAGAGCCGCATCCGAGTGATACCAGAGATAGCAGCCAGCCGCCAGCCGCCAGCCGCCAGACGCAGTCGAGAAAGAAGCATATAAATTTATTAACGAACACGGCTTATGGGCAAATGATGAAAGCCCGGCAAACGGAGAGCATCCACAGCAGCAGCAAATAATAGCAAATTGCAATAAAGGAAACCCCCAGAGAAGGAGGCGAAGAGAGTCGAGCGAAACGAGAGCGATAGGAGGAGAAGTTTGTGCGAGTATAATAAATGTTCTGGTTGCCGTTCGTGATGAAATTATTTATGAAAAATAAATGGAATATGTTGCTCTTGACGGTGATGGCGATGGTCGTGGTGCTGCCACCGTTGGGGGCGGCACGAGAGACTTCCGACCATGACACGGCCACGAATGCAACATGCAAACACGCCACGGACATGTGGGGAGATCCGAATCCCAACTTATTCTACGTATGCTCCGAGGACGGACAGCAGCCGCTGCAGCTGCAGTGCCCGCAGGGACGTGGATTTTTCAACGGACTCGGCTATTTGGGCTGTTTACCCTACGACCACTGGCCGGCCTGTCAGTTGGCCACGGACGCAACGGCAACGGCAACGGCAACAGCGACAGCGGCTGGCTGTGACAGCGATAGCGAGCACTTTACACAGCCCTGGCCTGCTACGGATCCCAATCAATTCTACATGTGCCCCGCCACGGCGGCCACACCGCTGCTCCTCAACTGCACACCAGGCAAGGGCTTCGTGGCCACCTCGGATGCTGTGGGCTGTGCGGATTGGACTGTGTGGCGACGCGAGATGCAGTGCGAGGATTACTACTGAGCAGCCTCCGCGAAATGTGTATGCTTATATCCCTGACAGCCTGCAGGCAATAATCAACCTTGTGCTGGCAAATATTCGACTCGAATCTTAATTTATTGGGCACTTCTCTTCGACACACCTCTGTACATATACCAAACATGCCAAAGACATGCCATCTACACTAGTTTTATCTATAAATAAACACATAGTTTCTATATATACAATGAGATAACAGATTGCAAGATATTTCTGTGTGTGTCTTGCACACAAATAACCTTGAAGAGTGGCTTTGAAAGCGGTTGATTAGAGCTCATACGTGTCCATTTATGGGATTAACTTTGTGCAAATTGTATTCCATTTGTGTATGGAAGATAATTTTCATTGGAACTGCTGCTCATTTAAGCATATTAAATGATTTGCTTGGTTGCGGCATGTGGGGTAAATCCTTTTAGTTCCCACACTCCTTCGCCTTCCACAAGCCACGCATTATCCTTTGCCATTACTCTCCTTTGTGCTGGCTGTGCCTTTGCCTGCCGACTGTCTGCTGTCTTTCTGTCGGCTGCTGTCTACCGTGTCCCGCCTCATTCCTTGGCGGTCAGCACTGGCACTGGCCCCCGCATTCCCTTTTGCCTCGTAGACAGCTTTGATGTGCTCTTTTTTACTTTGTCATTCCCTTATGTGTGGATACTTTTTACGGACACTGGCAGCAGGAGCAGCTGCTGTCTCCTCCACTCACTTGCACTTACGAGCATAAGCATAAGCCTTTGTTCTTGCCGTCATAAAACATAGCCCCGGCTCAGGTATACAGCGGCATGCGGCAGCCGTAGGATGATGATGATGACACATGCAGCTGGATGGTGCATAAAAAAAGGGGAACGAAAAAGCCGTGCGCTTTATCGGAAATTGCATTCTGCTTTGAGCGCGTCCAGATGCAGGAAATTACTGTCAACTGTTAATGCCCGGGATAGGAGCACACGACCCTAAGACCCCCAAGAGCCAGGGACACAACCAGAGAGCAGCATCAGAGCCAGCCTCAGGCTTTAATAAATCTTCAATTTGCATATATATATTCGTATATATATATTTTTTTCCTTTCATTTGTGCGAGGCCATTAATCAATGGACCCTGGGGCCAATGGCGGGCAACAGCACGTGTACGTAATTTTAATTGCCACTGAAATAAAAGTGTTTAGTCTGTGCGGGAGAGGCGAAGGCGGTGGAGAATGAGTAGGTGTGGGCCTGAGGATGGTCTTCAATTTAATTAAATGTTTGCTTGCTGCTGCTGCTGCTGCTGCTGCTCTCAGCAGAAATCAATGAAGGCGACTTCTTATTTATTGCGTACACTCGACCCCAGAGCCTGGACCCGCAGGAGCAGTCGGCATTCGCGTAATGCTGACGCAGACAAGGATTTTCATTAGCGGAAAGCTAATTAGACAATTGGCAACTGAACCGAAGCTGATAATGTTAGGGGAGCAAAATACTAGGAAAATAAAATACCTTAATACAAATTGTCAAGGGGAGAAAGAGCATAAATAAATGGAGTTTAAAGTTGAATGCAGTGCAATCAGCTGGGAATCAATATCTCTTAAAGCTATTCAGCTATTCGTTATGGAAGAGGAAACACGGGAAACAATGGAGTTCATAGAAACCACAGACAGAGTGGCTGCCAAAGGGACGACGCATGGCGCGTCTCCCTTCGCTGTTTTTGCTAGGGGGACTCTTCATTTCGTTGATTGCCCCACCGCAGGCGCAATAATATTGATCGATTCATTGCCCTTCAATTGATGTTCTCCCTTTTTGCTTTAAATTTAACAGAGCAGAGCAGGGCAGGGCAGACCGCACACAGACCCAATGATGGAACGATGGACTGAGGCAGGGTTAATGTGGCAATGCAAATCCCAAATGTGGACAAAAATGCAGTACGAAGTGCAGCGAGCGAGCGAGCTGGTTGCCGACTCTCTGTGGGTATGGATGCACGTGTGGCACCAAGGCCAGTGCCGGTTAAGGCATGCGTAGCATGCAAACAACCTGCCACACACTGGGGAGGGGTCCATGGCTGCTGCTGTTGCTGGGCAGCTAATATGTGAGTTCCAGGTGCGGACTACCAGGGCCCATTATTGAGGCTGGCTATTTACTTTCGATCAGTGCATTCGCACCCCTCAACGAGATGGAATAATGTTTATTAATGTTCAAAAAAACAGTTTCAATTGCCACTTCCCTGTGAAGGACTCTCCCACACACTCCGCTCCTGTTGCGGCTGAGTGTGCTGTGGCTTCAATCCATTTACAGGTGTTTGCCCAGAGTCAATGCAGACGCAGCCAGCCGTAAAACATTTGTCACATTTACATTAAAAGCAGCAGTAAACCAGGGAGGAACCCGGGCTTCATCTGTGTTTGCACAGTGCACACCCATCCGAGCCACCCACAGCCATGACACACTGTAGACCCGCACCCGGCTATGCAATTTATTTGCACAGTGCACTTGCCAATTAATTCTTATCTCAGCAGCCATGCAGATGCAGGTTGCCTTTCCCGGCGACTGCATAAATCAATGTGCCTGAAATGATAACTCATCCAAGGCACAGCCCGTTCTCCCCTGCCTCATATGCTCTCCGCATCCATACATTCATTCATACTCGTATATTCTGGCACACAAATCTTGCTCTAGATCTGTCCCTTCGATTGGAAAGTTTGATTTGAGTTGGAGGAGGATGAAGCAGGAGCAGCCATTGTGTGTGCCAGTGTGGGAGCTATTGCAACTCACTCAATTTGATGCTGTCAAATGTGCTGGCAAGACTCTGTCTGCTCTCCCCACCCCTCCTACACCACAGGGCAAAGGCAAGGGCAACTGCTGCACTACGTCTTTACAAACACAGAGAGAGAGGTCTTTGGCCGCCCTCAACCAGCGGCGTCTAATTGAATTGCACTGCGATAATGGCCCTGGCACCTCATTCTCTGTGACTCTGTGTGCAGGGCGCCTCTCTGTGTGCTCTCTCCGTGCTGCCTAATTGAAAAGTGTTGTTACCACGGCCCAAATATCGGCTCCGATTTTGCGATAAATCTGCAATCAGTTTCGTATGTCTGCGTCTCCATCAAAGATGAATGGCATGCGGCATTTGAGAGCATTTAAGAGCAGTCTGAGGTGAAAGTTTGCCACTGAGATTATCAATTTAAATGGATGGCAAATCTTTTGCTGGCTGCTCAAATCATTTAATATTCCATTTGGGGTCACTCGACTCGTGTGTTTGCATTTCAAATGATTCCAAGGAAAACGTTTATGCAACACTTTTCTCTTGCCATTATTTATTTATGGATGCTAATTGGATACAAAAACTGGGCGGATACAATCCGATAGAAGCTTATACTACTCACAAAAATCTCTCGAAATACTTTCAGGAACATTTCAAAGGCGAATGCGGGCGGTGTGTGTGTCAGAGGCTGATACTGAGGAAGATTTGTCAGGCCGTGTGGATTACAAACAGAGTCACCGCAGTAACGGACTGCCCCGCATAAATTCATATAATTAAGGCGATCCAATTATGGCGACTCGGTGCTGCTGTCGACCCACCTCTCTTCCTGTCAACGTGCAAAATCTGTGGACGAGGACACCCGCTTTCCTCTTGCGACGGTGGCCCTTGGTGGCGGTGGCGGCGCCTCAGGTGAGGCGGCACACGCAGCCGCTGGGAAATGCTCGCGCGCTTGGGTAATTAATTATGTCAGCTGCAATGACGGGGCCTGAAAACATCCGCCATGTACTCGTGGCGGAGGGGCAAAAAAATTGTGGCCACGGCCTCTGTCTGGGTGGGCTTTGGGTGCCTGGAGCTGGGCCAGGGTCGCGGGGCTTCGGCCGGAAACGGAAATAAGCACAAACAGTTGGCGACGGCAGCCGAAACAAACAAGTTGCTCTGCATTTGCCGAAATGATTTATTAGAAACGACATTTCAATTTTTCATTCGCCAAGTCCTGGGGCGAAGACGACGGCTTCGGCGAAAATAAGAAATACGCGTGGAAATAAATAACACGAAAATTTGCCTGTTGACAAAAATGTAACAATTTCACATGCAACTAAATGCGTATTTCCGGCCGGAAGGGCAAAGCAGAGGATGGTGCGTGGGTCCCTTGCCGGATGTAGTGACAGCACTTCCGCTCTGCCGCCATTTTACTGTTTGATTGAGCCTGTCCCATAGCCAGAGAAGGATCCCTTTGAAGGTGCCACACCCATTAGGTTGAAGGATCGCACAAGAGTATCCTCCAGAAGTGCTTCAAAAGGACAAGGAAAAGGACATCTAGCCACACACACACACTCACACACACACACATCACACAATCGCACACGAGGAACCACAAGGAAACAATAAATTTGCAGCAATGCGAAGCGGAAATGTTTGTAACGGAAATAGAGGAAACGCAGCAAAGTGAAGTGCAGCAGGAGCAGCCGCAGCAGCAGTAACAGGATAACAGGAGCACAGTGTCGTCCTGCCCGCAAAGTTGTCGCATGGCGCTCGGGCAAACAAACAAAGTAATTGGTGCACACAAATTGCCCCTCGCCAAAAGAAGTGGCGTTGGCAGAAGAAAAGCAGCAGAAGAAGAGAATACTACGGAAGAATGGCTGCTTGAAAGGAGAGGGCAAGTAATGGCTAGTAAATTGTATTATGACCATCCATGATGTGCTGTTGGCTGGTGGCTGGTGGCTGCGTTCTACGACCGACCAACCTAATGCCTAGGGTTGGCGCCCAGTCACAGTCACCGGCACTGGCACATAAATTATGCATATTTAGCCAAGTGAAATTGAAAACTAATTAATTACACTTGCAGCCCAAGGCGGGCGGCGGCTAAAAGTCGCCGCCGTGGAGCTGCCTGAGAAAAATGTTGCTCAACTTTTTAATTGCCAGCATCAAGTGTTTTTGAAATTGCTCTTGGCTGTAATTATGGTCGAAAAGTGGCTGAAACGTGAGACATTCTGTGCCGGGCAAGGGTCGCCCAAGATTGCCAAGCTAAGCTACTAGTCGCTGCAAAAAGGAGCAAGAGCTCAAAGAGAAAGTTCAGACACTTGTTGGCTCCTGCTATCCAGCTTGACAAACGCGCTGTCTGTCTGTCTGTCTGTCTCTCCTTTTTCGCCTCCTTTGAGGTGAATCTTGAAGCGTTTACATGGACTCTTGGCTTTGTATAGCGGAGCATATTTAATGAATTAATGTACGACGGATGTTGGCTGAATTTGTGGCCCTGGCAACCGTGGGATTTCTTAGAGTTTACTAGCCCACATCTGGCCACTTCTCATGAAAGCGCTGTCATGGCTATCCGGGCTAATTTAATGCTTTAAATTCAAAGTGTCAATCAAAGAAGGTATTGATCCAAGTCCCAGCCATGCACAGCTTAGACAGGTGCAGCCAGAGGCAGGCAAAAGGCAAATACCAAATATCAAGAGGAGCATAGGCCAAGGGTCACGTACGGTGGCGTGCCCAAGGGCGACCTTCCATCGACTCTTACCTTTCGGTGCTCCATCACCTGTCATTTGCCTTGGGTTTATAGGTTTTGAATTCGATACGTAGGCATAATACGATACAGTTTGCCCAAGCTCTTGTAAGCCTTTTGGGTGGGCGAATGTCGATCCCGGACTCACGGACTCCCGGCAATGGTTCGTGTGGCAAGTGCCTGGCAGTTTTATTAGTTGGGCGGCCAGCAGTGTGGCAGGCAACCCTTTTCAAAAACATGATACTAATAAAAATCCATGTTAATGTTGCATGAATACCAAATAAATTGAGGCAGCCAACACGTACATACATATGGCATTCTCGCTGGCAGTATTTATTGATTGAACATAAAATTGGGCAATTTCATTGACGTTACATTTTTGTGTGCCTAAACAGGCGACCGGGGAGCAGTTGCTGGAATTGCTCGCAGATGCCTTCCGGGGCTCAAGACAAACACTGTCTTCTGTAAATAATTTATACCCAGCCAAGTGACAAATGAATGCCTTGTCCCGGTCCTGGTCCCCAGTTCCCAATCCCCACCTAAGTAGCTGTCACCGCCAACGGCAGACTTACAGAAGAGAGACACACACACACACACACACACACACACACACACACAGAACCGCCACACTCTGGCTTATCGATTTCCATGACTCGTTCTCATTCTTCCACTCGCTATGGCGTTGGCATGCCCCGTTTCGAAATCAATGCAAGTGGCAGCTGTTGTGGTTGCAACATTGCTGTTTTTCTCCTACTCTGAGGTGCCGCCTCCACGCGAATAAACAGTGCTTGATGTTCGCGTAAATGCAGCCAGAGCCAGAGCCGGAGCATTGGGCGACGCTTTCTACTCCTCATTTCCAGCCGCATTATTAATGCATGTGTCTCTGTGCGGAACGGAACGGAACGGAAGGGTATGGGAGGGGATGGGTACGGAACGGAACTGTCGCTTGTTTGAGCAGAGATTTTTAGCGCGAATCAATCAAATCACATGACTGCTTGACTAACAGCCAGTGATTTGATTGATGAACTGCGTCAACGTCAGCTCTAGAGGGGCCTGGATAACGGATAACAGATAAAGCCAACGGTTGGCAGTCAAGTGTGGGTGCGGTGGGTGGGTGGGTCCTGGCTGCACGACTGCCACTTGGGATGACACGCACAGAGCAAACAGCAAACAGCAGCGGGAGAATTAGCTTCATGAGGCGGAGTCTCCGTCTCCGTTCGAGGCGCCAAACCGCTTGAAGAGCAGCGCATCGCATTATTGATTAGCGGCTCAAGTCCTTATGGGGGCATTACTGATGCGGCATTAGATGCTTAATCAAAGTAGCCGACATCAGAGGGTGTCACGCCTGATCCCCTTCACTAATGAATATTTAATTTGCTGCCTTGGCTCTTTGGCTTCATTTAAAGTCATTTCCTTTCTTTCTCTTCAAGGAATTTCGCAAAAGTTCTTGGGAAAGAAATAAGTTTGCATATTTTCTATTTGCAGTTTGCTTGGTCGTAATAAAATATTTTATTACTTTTTAAGTGTATTTGCTACTCGTAAAATTCTGTTGCTTGACACATTCCCCTCCACCCACTCCCATTTCATTCATTTCATGGCCATTCATTTTTTTTTTGTGGAATGTGGCATGCAATGTCACATGTGACGGAATGATTTGGCTTCGTTCCGTTCTGGCTTCTGGCATGCAAATTCCATGTCGACTTCGAGTCAACTCGAAGTTAGCGAAAGTATGTAAATGTGAGCAGCTCCAAATGCCTGGCAATGCCCTCCCTCCTCTTCCTCTCGGAAGGGGGCATGTGGTCGGGGGGATGCTGCTCCTGATGAACTTTCCACGATTGCACTTGATATGGCTTCAGAATGGATTTTGCAAGTGGCTGCTCCACTTACCAGCGATATAATATATGTCTGTACATATATCTGGGAAGTCCTGTGGATGCCCAACTTTCGTGTAGGGCATTCCACTCTGTCATATGAGATTCGTTTGCTTGGCCTCCAGCTGGGGGCTCCTGTAATTCGACTGCATTCCCATGCCTGTCTCTTGGCCACATACTCGTGCTCGGTCTTTCACATCTTTTTTATGTAAATGTGCAAAAATTTCATCGCACACATAGACATCAAATGAAATTGTATTTCTGCGGCAGGGAAAGTACACACAGAAAGTAAAGCTCGACAAAGGCAGGAGAAGAGAGGATGAGGCACAGAAATGTCTTATTCTCTACCGTGCCAGCACCGGTGGTGGTGGCAGATGGCAGCTGGCAGTTGGCAGTTGGCAGCCGGTAGCCAGCATCGTTGTCCATGGCAGTACTCCTGCTCCCACATTCACTGATGCTGCTCTGCCTTTGCGGCTCATCATCATCACCAAGAACGACGACAACGACTACGACGACGTCGTTCCCATTTCATCATTGTCATAACTTTGTGTCACAATTTTACACTCCCCCCCCCAGGACCGCATGTGTCCACGTTGCAAGCGGCAGCATCATTTTTAGGATCGAAAATGTAGACACTTTTTTGTATTTTTGTGGCTTTAGCCTGTCATAGATCCTGCCGCCAATAGAGAAAGGAATTCGATTTGTTTTGCAGCTGCAGCCAAGCCATTTTCAGCACATATTACTATGGCCTGCGACCGGCATTTGTGCAACAACTGTGCCTGGAAATGGGCGCCACTCTTCCTTCTCTTTGCTGCAAATAAACAATTTCAGCATTGGCAGGAATGCTTTCATTCTGCATATGAATGAGGCTTTCCTACGGGGTTTGCTTGCCTGTTTTCTGTTGGACATTTTCGGCAATTTATTGTGTCATCAACAGGGAGAAGCGGCTCCCAAAATCAGCTTAGTAGCATATGCCTGGAGTCGGAGAGTTGTGTCCTAGTATTTGGCGACGGCTGCAGAATGTTTTGCATATTTCCTTGGACTTGGAAACTTTGTTGCGAGCACAAACGACTCCACGGCATAATGTGATGATTGCGAAAATTGAAAGGAAACCCAAAAACTCGTGGCAAGCCACCCAAAATGCAAGCTTCACAGAATCTCTGGAAGTTAACGCTTCCCCCCAGAACTGACTGACAAACTGCTTTAAGTGGCCCAAAACTTTGGTCATGCCTGGCTAAAAAACCTGGAACAAGGGAACAAGTGGAAGTAACTTTTACATTGTAAGTCCAAGTCCGCCTGGCAAGAGCGATTGGCCGTGGGAAGGAGCTGGAGGGGCAGAGACCGAGAGGGAGAGAATAAATGTTAACAAGATGACTACGGGGCAAAAAATGTTCAGGCACTTTCATTGTTTTGCCTTTGAATGGAAAAAATTAACTGAACTGAACTGGACTCGAGTCCCTCTCAAGTACATTCCATGGACAGGGGGGGGCATGCCACATTTGGTGCTGCCGAGACTGTGTGGCAGGTCCGTGGAATGCCAACTTCTATTTGCATTTGCCAGCCAATAAAACAAACTTGGCCTGAGCGCATATTACGCGCAAATGAAACGCCTGGACGGACAGTCAATGGCATTGAAGGTTGTCGCCCGCCATTCGACCCGTTCCCGTTCCCGATCCCAAACCCATTCCCAATCCCTCTCCACCACCTCATACCCCGCAATCACTGTCATTTGGCCAAGCTTCTGGCGCATAAACTTTTGCTGCAACATTTGCCATCGCATTGTTTCCAAAGCATTTCTTTGGCAGGCACATGGAACTGGGAACAGGGACTGCTGCTGCTACTTGGGCCGGAGTTGAAGCTGAAGCTGAAGCTGGTGCTGGAGGGCCAGCAGCGAAATTAAAGTGCATTGTATGCTAAAAGTTTTCCTCCAGCAAACCGGAACAATGAAAAGTTCATGAAAATTTTTGCTTCAACGCATAAACAATAAACATAAAACTTTTGACCATTAAAAACGCGCCACGGCCCAAGTGACACTTGCTGTGCCTCTGGCGATGTTCGGTCTCTGAGGATTCGAGCAGAGGGAGGGGAGTCGCTGTTGGCCTGAAGAGTTTCCTTTCAAAAGTTTTGTGTTGCTCTAATGACAGAAATCGGCGTGAACTTGATGTTTGGCCAAGAAGTTTCCTCCCCACCATTGTTGCTGCCTCTTAGCCAAATCAAGTGAAATGCAATGCAGACAAGGAGGTTTACTTGTAGAATGGAGCTGGAGATGGAATGGATTAAATATATTAATAATAATAGTATCGAAACCAATTTGAAAATAAATATCTAAGCAATACTTAGATCGATATCGATATATCGATATACCATTCATGCCAGCCCTGGCAAGCTTCACATTTTTTTCCACGCAATAAGTAATTCATTTGTCAGTGTAAAAAGTGTGCTGCTTGTTACAAAAGGAATAGAAAAATGGCTTCTTTCTCGCCAAGTAAAATGCCCAAGTGCTCACGCTTCAATGGGAAATGCAGCCCGGAAAAGGAGGAGCAGCTGCGCGACCAGATCCACAGCGAGTTGACCAAAGCCCGCTACTGCGCCAACCCGACCTACACGTGCAGCTTGGTACGCATCAAAGGTTACAAATATTGCATTCGCCACATTCTCTGGGATCCACTTGCACCGTATTGCCGCTGCACATTCGAGTACTCGAACCGGCGCCAGTGCGTAAACGCGGTGCCCAAGTTTGATGCCCTAAACAACGAGATAGTGTCCCCGCTTTGCTTTGAGCACTACAATCAGCTGCTGGTGCGCAAGAGCCAGATGACCTTGGGCCGTTTTCGTTGTGGCGTTGAGACCAATGAGACGCTGCTCAATAGTCTCTCCCATCACTTGAATGTAAAGGAGCCCGAGGCGCCGAAGCCCGTCGAGAAGAATGATAATGACGATGACGATGACGATGATGTGATTGATGTTGTGTCACCCCATGTGACCCCTTTACGTAAGTCCATTCATTCAATTGATGTTCGAAACGTGTCATTTATTTTCCTTGTAGTCTCGCAGGATTATCGCAACAGTTTGCAGAATGTGATAGATGCGGAGCCTTCGCGTCATCTCAGTACAGATTTTGCCTCCGATTTTTCGAGCGATGATGAGGAGCCGCCATGTGTGCGGAATACCCTGCCAGATGTCGAATTTGATGAATCTGATTATGAGAGCATTGACTCTGACTACGACGATCCTCTGAAGTAATATCAATGCTCAGCGTAATCGTGGCGATGCCGTTTAATGATTTCTGGTCTTCATTTGTAGGCATGGCGGTGTTTACACTCGCCCCGAGGCTGTGTACATTGCTCTAAAAAAGGTGGAAAAACTGCAGTCTCTTTACGGAGAGGAGCTCAAGTTTTTGGCACGCCACTTGCAGAAGCGCCGTCGCCAGTACTTAATTGACTTGCGCACAGAACAGGAGACCTACTGTGAGTATAGTTTGACATAGAGTTTACCTGCGCATGTCACGAGAGTTTAAGTTGCAGGCAGCATCAAGGATCAGATTAAGAAATCACCGCACGAGATGAAGCTCTACGAAAAGCTGAAGGCTCTCAACAGCTATCATCGTCGGCAGGGCAAAGAGGCGTATTTCTACAAGCGATACAGAGAGAAACGCGAGCAGTCCAAGCCGGACTACGTGCCCAAGAGCTCCTACGTCTCAAAGTGCATCTTCAAATTGTTTGGCCATCGGTGTGGCATGCCGGCGATACAGTCCACCAAGCACTGCCGCAAGCATATCCTATCGGACAAGCGCCAGATGATATTCCGTGTTTGCGGCGGGGAACGCAACGGGAATGTATGCCAGGAGCCCGTCTGGGACCTCTGGGACGAGACATGTGAGCTACATCGCTCCTTGGAGCCACCCAAGAAACAGTATAAACAAAAGGTGGGTGGAATGTAGACAGCATAAGCGTAAACTACAAAAACCGCACCCATTGTCCCCCCAGTTCTATGAACCAAAGCTTGATGAGCCAATTGAACATATGTTTGCTCCTCGTTACGCTGTCGCTGATCTCACACGAACTGAACCGGCCCCAGCGTCTGAAAATATGAATACAACAGCTAATGCATTTGACTTAGATATTGAAACAGTAACAGAGCTGGACAACTTTATAACCCATGGGCTTACAGATGCTGCCAATGAAGTAGACATAGATACAATCCCAGATCAAGCCAATATCGAAATTGAACCAGTCTATGAAGAGACTGTGTTAACTGAAGTTGGTCAGGCCAATTGCAATCTCAACGACATATTGACACTGTTCGACGGCATGGGCACAGCCCCTTGGTTTGACTCCACTGGCGAAGAGTACAAAAAATAACCAATCCAACTACCACGCATGTAAATACTTATAATCACAATAACCTATAGGGGTACCTTTCATTGCTATTTTTTCTTATTATCAAATATAAATATTATACTTCCATATCTTTCGCAGATACCTAAGAGCGAAGACTAAGAGAAACTTCTTATACACATTTAACTGCCTGCAGACATATTGGCAGCAATTAAAAGTCTCAAGGTTCATTGCATACATGATCGAAAAGCAATCCATAAAAACTATCTTCAAAGCATAACATAACCAACATCCAAGACTTCGTTCACTTTAAATACTGCAGTTCCGAACCATTGAAATATAATGTTGAAGGTACAAACATGTAAGCCGTTGATGGCATTTTTTCACAATATTTACGTGTTGTAAATTATATTACACATTTATTTTACTATCTGTTATCTCTTGGAATTGCAAATATCTTGCATATTCTCTTCTAGGGGCATATTCTTGGCCAGAATAGCGTGTTGGCAACACGCACATGAACCACAGTAAACCACAAACAGATTTCAGAAATAATTCCCATACAATAAAGAAAACATTAGCTGGAGAGCCGTTTTTTGTTGGAGATCTGCGCATGCGTCGCGGACAGAGTATGGAACTCTCTTATACAATCGAAGAGAACCAGATGCTGCAGAGAAATAGAGCGGGTTTCCAGAGAGGGTCGCTCTCTCTCTCTGTGACCAGAAACCAGTATTATTCAGTTTGTGTTTACATTGTGCACACAACAAGCGGCGACAAAGCCGATTTACACTTCCCAGACACTTGGCACTCGCTCGTGGCTTCGTTCCTCATCCACCATCTCCAGACGGAAACGCACTGGGAGCAGCAGCAGCAGCCGGCAAACAGCTGATGGAAGTCGGGTTCTAGTCTGGGGGTCTGGGGTCTGGGCTTGGGCTCGGGCTCTCTGGTGTGGCATGGTAAACTTGCAGCGTCATACGAATTTTATGCACGGCAGCCATAAAATTGTCGAGTAATTCTGAGAGGCCGTTGCCGGGCTATTTAAATTTTGAAATACTCGTAACAATTCCGCACACTGAAGAGAACTTCCCCGTGGAGACTGGGGGACCTGGAGGAGCTCTTAAATTTCCTCACAATGAGGCAAACTTTTCATCCGACTCGAAACATTTGTAACATGCCAGGGGAAAAAATATTTATTTCAGCTCGTATGTCATGCGAGTGCCGTGGAGAACGAAGATGGGGCACTAAAACTTTGAGCAATTTTTCAAATTTGTCGCGGTGGCCCACAACGTGGGGATACCACTGGCTCTGTGGATGTGGGTGTGGCATCAACTTGATAATATCACTCCAACTCCGACTCCGACTCTGACTCTGACTCTGACTCTGACTCCGACGAACCACACGAGGTGGCTCTTGCACAAGTGCCCGGCAAGTTAATGCCTTATGACTATGACCCAGCGACGACCTGGCGAGGAGTGAAAACTTTCTGGCGCGCCACCGTCATGTCGTTTTGGCCACGTTAAGAAATGATTAATGATTATTTCAGCCAGCTGCGTGTGTCTGCGGCTGTGACCCACCGCCAAGTAGCGTCCCGAAATATGTTAACGCTTTTTAAATCATCTGCTCCCTGCATGGGGAGAGGGGAGGGCGTGTGTGTGTGTGTGTGTGTTTGTGGTGGCTTTGTTTCAGAACTTTAATGGTTCTGGCCCAGAATTTGTTGGCCTGAACGCTGATGGCTTTGCATAATAAATAATTGACTGCACTGCGTTGAGATTGCGGCAATAAAACATTGGTCCAATGCTGAACAGAATGCCAGGAGTTAAGCCGTTAAATCAAGAGTTAAAGCAGCGTCTGGCCCTTCATCTGCCATTCTCTCTGTGGTAGTTCTACGTACTATATTTTATATGCAAATCACCTTAGTTATAGTTGCACTGCATTAGACCGAATCAAGAAACAAAGTATAACAAGGAGATACAAATTGAAAGGGAATTCTTTTTTGGATTTTTGTAGCAAGTTTATAAGCCAACGAGGGGAGAAAAAAACCTTAAAGTGAAATTGAAAATGAATATAGTTTTTGCTTCTTAGCCTCAGTTGCAGCTTAGACGTCTTCAAATAACAAGGCAGAGTCTGCAGCTCCACTCCTCATTCCATTGCCCGCCCAGCTTCAGCTACATCTATAGCCAAGAGTCTGGCTGGCTGGCAAAGCGCATTAAAGCAGTGTATTTTTGCCAGGATTTTGTTGCTTTCGCTTCTGGGTACACTTAAGCCTTGGCTGGGTATCAACAAACAGTACTTACCAAATCGTTTTCAGCAATGCTGCCAAAAAAGCCAGACAAAGCCCGAGACCTAAGGAGCCCCGGCAGGCGCCCTATGTGGGGACGGAGCAGGTTGGACGGTCGGTGGGTCTCTGGGTTTATAAATTGCATATCGAATTTAGTAATTTTCTGCATTGTGAGAATATCGTGCGTTGCCCGGGGCCCAAGCACATACTTTGGCTTGGGTCTGGGTCTGGGTCTGGGTGTGAGTCTGCTGCTGCTGCTGCCTCTCCTTCTGGGTGAGTCATTGGACAAGTGGCTCTGGCTCTGACTCTGGCTGTAGCTGTGGACCTGGAGCTAGAGCTGGACTGCCGCTAATCATGCGATCGTCGGATGCATTGTTAGCTCCTGCATTATTCCCTGCCCAGGCACTCGCTGACAGGTTCTGTGCGCTTCCTTCCAGGCCTCACCACACCCCGCTGCTGCTCTGCTGTAGCTGCACATTTTTCATTTTCATTTAATATTTATGATTTATTTATGTGCGGATGTTTGCTGGCTGTTCTCATATCGTACGAGAATTTATGCTTTCCGCTTTGGCTACGGTCCTAGAACAGCCCATGGGTCTCTCCCTCTCTCTCCTTAGCCATCTCCTTTCTAATTTTTAAGCCCAACCTGAAGGCAGACAACAATTTCATGCGCCGCTGGGCACCGGCCACCGTGCACCGTACACCGTACACCGTAACTCTCCGGCTGTAACTGTCCTGTAACAATAACCGTAACTGGAGCCGTAGCCAAAGTCGCAGTCACAGTTCCATTCACAGGGGCTTATTATGCAAATGCCGACCTGGTCAAGAGCCTCCCACCAAAAACTGGACCACAATTGTGCAGTCCTCCATCTCCTGCCTAGGATTCGTAATAATAACAATTTCTTGTTCTTGTATTTTTGTGTGTTTTTTGTTGTGTTTTGTTTCTGTTGCTAGTAACAATTTCTCGTTTTCCAGTGACTAAACACGGCCCAAACAGCAGGAGGAATGCAACTTTTTCAATTAGCCAAGCGGGCGGCATTAGTCTTATCATATAGCCACAGCTATCTCTGCCTCACAGCTCCAGCTCCAGCTCCAGCTCCCATGCTCTCTCAAGCTTTAACAGATCAGCTCCTATGGAGGCCAATCGCCTGGGGACCGACCCAGCCCAGTTCGGTTTGGTCCTGGGCAAAGTTTTTAAACACGCCGGCTGACAGCTCTGCGCCAGGGGGCCCATTGTCTGTTGAAAGCGACCAAAATGTTGCTTACACTTCAGCCACCTGACCGGGCTATAATCGATATTTATTTATTTGTCCATTAAAACAAAACACCCAACAAAAAGTTGGGTGGAACAGGTCAAGAATGGATCCTGATGAGGGGAATAGCTAATGCCTATGGCTATCAAAAGCACTCAATAAGCGATATGAAAACTTGCATAATGTTTTAAGGCATTTTTCCAAAGTTTATTTAAATACAAAGCTCCCCTCCTTGCACTCCCCAGATGAACAGGATTTTTGCTCGATTGTGGATCAATTTTGAAATATATTTTCTTGTTACTCTTGGCTGGCCATGGAGCTGTGTGCAGCTCAATCCCTCAAAATAAATAAAACAAGGAGCCTATGGACTTAAAATTACTCTACAGCAGCACTGACACTGCCACGGGCAATGGCCCTGCCACTGACCCTCCCTTAAACCTCATCGTAATAGAAAACTAAATCTCATCTAATATTAAGGTTTGCCTGAACTTGAGGATACCATGGCCGCTGACCGGCTGACCGCTGTCAACCACAAGCCAGCGAAACATTAACGAAATTGTTCGCTGGCGAGTGGGAAAGACAACGGAGATACAATATTTTGTGGCCCGGTCCAGCGGCTGGCCCGGGCTAGCCGAACAAAAATTCCAATAAATTCAATGCGACACAACAGACACTTGGGAGGACTTTGGGGCATGTCACAGCAGCTTCAGTGGCAGAAGCAGCAGCCTCAGTGGCTGCCAGGCAGCTACGATGTCAGGAGGCGGTCTTTGGGGTATTTTCGGGTTGCTGGAAGCAAGGCGTTGCTGTTTGTCTCTGTCGTTTGTCTGTCTGCCAGTCTTTTGGTTGGTCTGGGGGCTGTGAATGTGTGGCAAAGTTCAGAGCCTTTGACATTTCTGTTTGGGCATGCATTACTCATACGCAAAGGAGTGCCGGGTCCAATATGAACTCAACTTTTCCCTCCAGCTGGCCGAGAATGTGCCTTGGAGTTTCCTTATCCTCTTGTACGGGTATTTAGAAATTTAATCAAAATCTCAGCTAATAGTTTTGCCCCGAACATAAATAACGTTGTCCTCGCTTTCGCCCAATTCCACACCCGCTCCCAATCCCCAGACGCCATCGTCTGTTCGCCTGTTTCCTATGAAGCTCGGCTTAAAGTATGTTCTGGTTGCCAGGGAGCATGTGTCACAATTTATATGCAAACTTATCAACGTCGCAATGTCTCCGAAGCATCGTTTGCATGCATACATGCTGCACATGTCTGGCCATTGAACGGGGAAACAAAAAAGTAAGAAAAGGCAACGCCTCAATGTGCTGTTAATTCCCAGGGCTATGCATGAAATGTTTCAGCTCCAGGCTGCCTTCGATAAGGGCCAGCGGCAGTAGCAGGACGAGGGCGAGGACTAGGACCAGGACTAGGACTAGTAGCAGTAGCAGGCAATGTCAGCGCCATAAGTTTGGGGATTTTTATTTGGCGTCTGGCAGGAAATATTGCTCACAGGCTAACACATGACA